TATGTTGAATGTTTGTCTGTGATTTGTGCATATCGAGATCTTCGTGGGTTCCAACATGTTTAACAACTGGAGAAAACACTTCATTGTAATCAACTCATTCCTTCTGAGCGTAGCCTTTAGCCACCAACCTTGCCTTGTAGCGCACATCATTCTTCTGAGGAAATCCATCTTTCTTTGCAAATACCTACTTGCATCCTATCGCCCTCTTGCCTTTTGATAGTTGCGTCGCCTTCCAAGTTTGATTCTTCTGAAGAGCCAACATTTCTTCCTCCATAGCCCATTCCCACTTCTCATGGCAGAAAGCACACTCGTCTTTTTCAAGCTTGGCTTTGGAACGTGATCTTCCTCGTCCATTCTTCTTTTGGTTCTTCGACCGACCTCTTGCAACTAACGCTTCATCTTCTGCTGCAACTAACGCTTCATCTTCTGCTGCTGCATTCTTCGTCTCTTGTATGTTCTTCTTTCTCAACTCATAGCTATATAGAGCAGAACTGACCACTGCAAGAGTTACATCGTCCTTCCCATGGAGCAGAGTAGTCTCTAAGTGCTCGAAGTCGTCTGGAAGTGATGATAACAACATTAGAGCCAAATCTTCATCGCTGAATGTGACGTCCAAATTCAACAAATCTGCAGCAAACTGATTGAATGCAGTGACGTGATCATTCATCGATGTGCCATGCCGGTACTCAAAACGGAACAATCGCTTCTTCATGAGGAGCTTATTCTGGCCGCTTTTCTTCAGAAATTTATCCTCCAAAGCCTTCCACAAAGTGTGAGCAGAGTTTTCATTCTTGAACACGTACTTCTGCTCCCTCGACAAACACGAACGAATTGTTCCACATGCTAAGCGGTTGATATTCTTCCAGTCCTTCTCTTCGACGTCTGTTGGCTTCTCCTTTTCAATCGCAATGTCGACGCCTTGCTGAAATAAACAATCCAACACCTCGCCTTGCCACATGCCGAAATGACCGGTCCCGTCGAAAATCTCCACCGGGAGTCTGACGTTCGACATCACCGTCCTTGCCGGAATGAAGGCAGAGGATGATGCGCCCTTGACCTCCTTGGACATCTCAAACACGAATGCGATGCTCGCCTCTCCGAATGAGCCTGGGACGAACCTTCGGCTTTGATACCATTTGTTGGGGTATCACAACAAGCGCAGCGAACAAAAATACCCCTCCAACAAATATGACGAACACTATTCCAAAATAAGCCAACACAAATAAAAGACGAGATATAAAAAGAACACAAAAATTGATAACGGAGTTCGGCGAAAATAGCATACGTCTCCGGGCACCGCCAACCGCAATGCCAAATTTACTAAACTCACCAACAAAATACAACTAGGGTTAAATAACCCACAAAATAGGATTTCCTTAATTAAGGATTTCCTTCTAAATAGGAGAGAATATAATAAGGTGCAATTGTAACCCAAAAGCAAGAGACCTATTTATACTAAAAAGATCCTACACATATTTGGTACACATCCGATGTGGGACATAAAATTAATCAAAATCTAACGAATTAAGGTTTTAATGTTAAAATTTTTGTTACAATTAATTTGATGATTTCAACAACTATTTTTTCAATGGTTTAGTGCTATAAAAATTTCAAATGATTTTTTTTTTTCTGGATAATTTCAATTAAATTTGTTGATAAATTATAACAGAAATAATACCATATATTATTAAAACTATTGTTGGGATCCTGTTTGAATATGTTTTCGTTTTATTATAATTTTTTTGTTTTATTTTTTAGAATTACATCGTTTTCTTAGGAGGGTGTATTCAATTGAGATTTTTAAGGACTTTTTAAAACTTTTTAAATTTGATGACTTTTGTGGACTTTGTAGAACTTTCATGACTTTGGTGGACTTTTTGAGACTTTCAGAGAATTTTCATCAGTGACTTTTTAAGACTTTCATAATGGACTTATAAAACTTATTGAGACTTTTATATACTTGCAGTTATAATATTATGTTTGAATAAAATATTAATAAACGTAACATAATAACTAATATAAACAAGAATAAATGAAAAAACAAAAAGATGTATATATTAATCCTCTAAAAATTTATGAACAAACTCATTTTTATGCGAAATGAGTTATTCACGAACAAATTGTTTAGGATTTTAGATTTATTAAACGAGTAAATCGATCCGAGCTTTAACGAGTCGAATCGAGCAGGGCCTTATATTTTTTTGTTAAAAGAGTACAAGGTCAAATATGTGTTAGACATCTATACTATAACGACACTTATAATCAACTCAAATTAAGATATATTTATTTAATTATTTATTGATTTTATTTTTAATATTTTTTTCATAATGTTGTTATATTAGAAAAATATTATTAGGTTATATTTTTACAAGATACAAACATGCCGAAAAACATTAATTGTATCTTATAAAATTATCAATAATATTCAAAATATTTCAATATTAACAAAAAAAATATTTGAAAATAAAATATTTTTTTTTAATATTTTGAAATAAACATTTACAAATAAAAAGAAAGAACAAATAAATTATTTGCAAGTGCAACTATGGAAGCATTAACTTTTGAAAAGTCAAA